CATAGTCTGGGTTGATGCAACCTAAGAAGGAATCTCTGTCTCCATTAAATCACAGTGAAGCTATAAAGGACGTCACAGCTTCCTACCAGCAATACCTATTTCACCTTCCAGGTGAAAAGCCCAAAGCCCACAGATTCTCTGTGAACTGGGACATGTATTTTTTTTTTAAGCTGAATGTTCATAGCTTAAATAGTAAACGAGGGGCCCAAGACTCTGTCTCATCCTGTCACACTCAATTTACGCAATTCACTAAGCACAGTCACAGGAATTGAAGAGTCCTGACCATTAAGCACTTCCATACCCAACCATCAGACTCCTGAGCCTGGTCTTTTCCATTCACTGCTTTGCTTTTTCTTTTAGGAATATTATTAATGACCCTAATCCTGTTTTCTAGTTACACCACATAACATCCCTGTGTCTCAAAGCCAGGATTTCAATAGACTCGCATTATTCCTAATTGCATCCTTCATTTTGTAAACTCCTGGGTTTAGAAGGTATTAATTAGATTGGCCTAGTTAGTACTATTTTCAATTCATTATTTTTTTCTGTGCCTCATATATTTGGCATTACTCCCAGGAGCTCTACTGCTGGCCTCAGGACACTGCACAGGGACACTTCCAGCTCTCTTTGCAGAGAAGAAACCCAACAAAAGTCAACGTTTTTGCACCTACAGGCTCAGAAGAGCACCAATAAAAGTGTTAGTTCAAACAAGCCTCTTGAGTTTTTAAACCAATCAAGCTGTACAATGACATTAGAGGTTCTGATTTTAACACCAGTACTAATAGGTCGAACTAGTGTGAGCTCAACTATTTAAACTCTGGTCTAGACATAGCCAAAATAAAGGAATTCATCTCCAAAAGCTCTATGTGCTATTTGTGCCTCACTTAATCTCCAAAGGCCAATAAATACATCAGCAGGATCATGAAAGAGCTATGCATGCAAGCCAGAGACTCAGTAAAAAGATGGTTTCGTTTCTGCTGGTTTTCTATGGGAACCAGAGGGAACATGAAAAAAGACATAAGAAAGGCAGAGACCTGCTGAGGGCTCCTGGGATGACTTCAGTTGAGCCAAATGGAGCACAACCTCTCTCCCTCTGTCTCTCTCACTGAACAAACCTATTTAGAAGTGAACATTATTCTATGCTCGTTATTCACACTGGAAAAAAAAGGTACAATTGCAGATGAAAAACTATACCATGATAAAAAGAAGCTGCAATCAAGCCTAATTTTTGTCACACAGTATCATAGGTGCAGTCATGAGAGCTGTGCTTAGGCTTGGTTAAAAATACTCCTGTGGTATTTTGCAAAGTTTGCAGGCTGAACTGACCTGGCAGTTTCTGTGTTTCTATCAAGTCTAGCATCCTGTCTCAGAGAGAAATTTATACCAGCAACTTCAAACAAGAAATGAAACCTCTCACAACAAATGATTGATTACTGAAGGCAAACTGGCTCAGCTTTGTAACAAATTCCCCATGTGCAATAACAGCATTGTAGTTACAACTCATGTATGTTAAAAATCAAGAAGCCTTTGCTTTATCACTAACAGCACCATGGACCTTTAGCAGCTGTAGAACTGCTGTCAGTTCTCTCTAACTATTTTCTGAACACAGTAAATGTTAGCTTATTTAACCTAGCAAGGTAAATTCAGCAGTGAGCTTTAAGAGAGAATAAATACTCCTGTATGGTTAAAATTGAGGAGATACAAATTTAATATCTCAGCCAAAACTACAGAAATCCATCAATTTGCCAACATCATAATGTAATTGTACACATCCCAACTCAAAGAACTAATATGGTTTAATTTTTCCTTCAAATTTTGCCTGAAATTAACAAACATTTTATTCTAGTTTGATAATGTTTTATTTCTTTTAATTCAAAATATTTGATTCATCTATATAACTGATAACCTCTTCGTTCTCTTCTAAACAGGAAACTACACTGTAGAGTTCTCTTCTCAAATCTCTGATAAAGTTCACACCTGATAAAGTTAGGTGTGAGCTTTAGTTATGGCACTCACTCTAAACCAGAACTTTTCAGTTTTTCATGCTCTGCCAGCAAGAAATTGTGCGAGAAGCCCGGAAAGTGCACAGCCAGGACACCTGATGCAAGCTGGCCACAGAGGTGTTTCATGCCACAGAACATGGTGCCCAGTATATAAACTCGAGGGACTTGTCCAGGAACCACAGGTTGCAGGCTGGGCATTTGTGGTGAGGAATTGCACTATGCATCATGTGCTGTTTTTAAGTTTTATTCTTTCTCCCTCTTTTCCATTACAATTGTTGTTGTTTTCGTTTGTGTTATCAGTAGCATTATGTTTTACTTTGTTTCAATTATTAAACTGTTCTCATCTCAACCCACAAGTTTTAATTTTTTTTCCAATTCTCCCTACCCAGGGGCAGAGGTGTGTGAGTGAGTGGCTGTGTGGTGCTTAGTTGTTGGCAGGGGTTAAACCACAAGACATTATTCGTTGTTAACTTGTATTTTCTGCATGACACTATGTGTTCACACCTGAAAAATCACTTTATCAGGAAAGACAATAATAAATTTCTCTTTGTAGGCATTCTGTGTCTCCAGAATTCCCTAAACACTATTAAAGCCTTTCTGATTCTTTGCAACCCATGTTAATTAATATTAATTATACATTAATAAGAATACTCTGTGGTAGACAGCAATTCTAGACAGACCATAGACAGATCAAATTGTACCTTTAATTGTGTTTTAAAACATGCAAAGTATAAATTCTGTATAATGCTTTTGAAGCTGAGAGGGCTAGGAGGATGTTGCGGTGGTCTCTGTTCTCTTTAGGAGAGATGAGAGAACTCACTGACAGGAAACCAGCACATAAATACACATTCAGAGCTCAAGGAAAGTGTCAAGGAAAGAGTTCCATGTTAATTACCCTCCCTCCTCACACACACACTGCTTCTCAATGGGCAAACACACCAGTGTGGCTGAGCACATTTCAGGTACACACAGGTTGTTTGCCAAGAAGCACCAAAGTCTGGAGACATCAGACACAGCCTAAGAGAGGCATCTGCACCTGGGACTGCTGCCACCAGAGTGAGAGAAGGCCACTGCCAGAGAGACTTGAGGAATAAACCAGGAAGAAGCCCTTGTACAGGCTGGCAGGCAGAACTGGCAGGCTGTGATGCTGGAAGTCTGAGCTGCAGAGCCTTCTGGTACCCAGGAGATAAGGACAGGTGCTGAGCCTGCCAGAAAAACCAGGATGCAGGATTTAAGGGTTTGTAGGGAGCAATCACGTGCACACACCAATAACTGAATTACACTATCCTGGCCAAGCAATTGCCAGACACTGCCTGAAACTCACGTTCTCCTCTGATGAACAAGACACCTTCTTCAGATGGTATTCAGAGACAAGGATTCAGGGTGTGGGGAGTTAGTGGGAACACAGGGATGAGCTATGGAAGGGTGCCTGTAGCTACTGGGGCACCTTTGTGGCTCTGCAGAGGATTTTCTCCCCCTCCAAGAAATGCCATGCAAACAGCTGAGCACTTGGACCATGCTGACATTTTTCCCACTAGCTTCTCATGCTAATAAATTTTAATTTAGCAGAGTACACTGATCTTGCTATATTAACATTCCAGTTTTCTTCATGTCATTTTTTTTTTCAAGAAAGATATTAGGTTAATGCAAAATGCTGTAGTCAGGAGATCAAGAGCTGTCTTTTCTGTCCCTAGTTCTGGCACTGCCTCCCTCCATGCCAACAGCATTGCCTCAGGGCTCTCACCCTCCCAGCGCCCACAAAAGACTGTAATGCTCCCACAGTTGGAGGAACTTGCTGGTTACATTTGACCAGCCCTATGTAAATAGCAGGAATTTTAAGAGCAAGAAACTCTCTATAAGCCATATGGCATTAACATTAATATATTAATAAATTCCTCCCTAATTGCAACAGATGCTCAAGTCGGTAGTTTCACCATACAATGCAATGCACTGTTATGTCCTTTTCTGTGAGCAAGAATAAGCCAGATGCTTTTCCACAACATACTGGCAGAAATATGGTGCTATACAGCCAGAAAAAGCAAACTTTACCTTAGCTACAGATGAACATCTACAGAAGAGCTTTTTTAATCTATCTTCCTTAAAACTGATTAATTTTGACAGAGGATTTTCCTACCGATGTCTTTGATTTGATCCAGATGATCAAATACTGTTGGAGCTGAGATGGGTTCATCATCAAGGAATATGAAATTCCCCTGATGTTACAATTATATTTTTCTTATTTCTTTCTATAATACCATTAGACAAAGGAAAAAATTCGTGATTTTCATTTTTCTCACATTAACTACTTTTTTTCTTATTTATCTTCTCTATTCACTCTTATTTATCTTTCTTCTCATTTCCTCAGAGAGCAAAGAGTGCTAACCTGCTTTCCTACTTCACTCATTAAATATAATTGTAATTATTTTTACTTCACCCATACCTGTTAGTTCTTTAAAGTTCTCTTCCAGCTGCATAAATTAGTACCTCACCATGCTAATCATACTCTGTTGCAAGTATCACTACCTCATTTTGCATTTGGTTCTTTGCTCTTTGATCTTTAATTGGCATCTATTGCTGAATTCCTGTGGGGCTACAGAACCCTCAGTAATTCACATTACCAACTCTTACCTGACCATCACAAATTGTTTAAGCTGTCTGAAGACTGCATGGCCACCAACCAAGTGTTATCCCACCATCCCAGGATCCCTGTGTGCAGGTTCCCACCCCGCTGCTGACACTGGCATTGCCACTGGTGCAACCACAAAGTCAACCAGACCACAGCTGCTCTTTCAGCTCTTTGTGCCTTCTTTGGGAGATAAATTTTCTGCCAGATCATGCCCAAGGGAGCCAGCAAGGAGATAAGCAGGGAGGGAGAAAGGCTGGACTGCCTTTTTTGCCCATAGGGCACACAGGAGGATTCACAGCAAGTATGAAACTGCCATCTGGTAAGTGCAAAAACCACACAGTGACAGGAGGAAATGTGCATTTCAACTCTTCCCAGCTACCACTTTTCTGTTTTAATCACAATCACAGTTTCATGTGGGCAGTGCATTGCCCTTGTGGGGAGGGGGTTGCTGTGTGCTTCACTGAACTGCTGAACTTCTCCAGGCCCTCAGGTCGGCCAAGAGCAGAACACACAACGAGAAAGGGGCAGGTTTCGCAATCCTCAGCCACCAGCTTCAGCAGGAGTTTGTCTGGAGGGGAGGAGGGAAAACCGTTAACGAACAGGCCTAAAAATAAATGCAAGGGTTTCCTGGCATTGTTTTCTGGTCCTCTGTATTCCCCCTATGAAGGAAAAAGAACAGTGGGATTCAAACTGCATTTCAGTTTGTTGTTAAAATTCAGATCCCAAGAAAATACATGACAGGACTCAGAAACAAAAGCAGGTCTTGGATGATGACCTTCACTTCTGCTGTCCCTGGGGTTTGTGAAAGAGAAAGGAAATCAGCCACCATTACCAACTCCCCTTCAAATTATTAGGTACAAGCTTAGGTATCCAAATACCATACACTTAGAGGACCTTCTTTCCTCCAAAAGCTAGAACATTTTTATAGAAGAAACAAGTACATTACTTTTATAGGTGATATCTTAAACTTTTCCATGTCAGAGAATATAATGAAAGCTCTAATTTTTTCTTTCAGTATATTTAGGGAACCTGTCAGAAATTCTCCCACATCTGCAGCAGGCAAATATACAACTTTTCTAGGTATGTATCTATCTATGTCACAGGAGAGGCTTAAAAAAGAAGCAGCAATATTGATCTTTCAGAAATCTATACAAAAACTATTTAGCTTCATCTATCTTGGATAGCATAATTATAGAGCACAGCTCTGTCTGGCTGTTAGGTTCCTCAAAACAAGATGAAAAGTAGTAGTTTGAGTATTTATTTTCTCTTTTGGAATACCTCATTGCAATTGCCCTAAAGATAAAAAATCCACAAGTTTTCCTAATGATTTGCAAAAGCATAAAAGCCCATTTTTAGTGGGAGGATGTATAAGATGTACAAGATGTATATAACAGGCAAACTCCACTGGAGTCTGGATGTGTCTGGGTCTGTTGTGCTGATGTAGCAGTGTATGAGTTTTCTTACTCTTGCCCTTCTGGTGCCCTCGCCCAGCTGCTGTGGGGGAGTGAGCCAGGGTCTGTGTGAGGCTGAGCTACCTACCAAGGTTAAACTAAAACAACTTATTTCACATTTTTTTTCTGTCCTAGTCAGTCTTGACTTCATGTTACAGGATTTAAGAACATCCAGCTTATTGTTAGTTGACCTATAAGACCTTCAGTACACAGAAATAAAATAAAACTCATTCACACAATTAGGTGAAAAGATATTTCCTTGACTAAAGGTTTCCAGTGTGGGGAACAAGAGTCAGTTTAACTGGTATGATTTGCTGCAGGGATAGCTCCTCTCCTGGTTTGATGCTTGCCAGATGCTTGCCCTGGTCCTCTGCTCCTGCAACACCAACAGCTGCTTCACCTGTTTCCCCCAGTGCTCTCAGGCGTTTTGCTACCCCTTGCACATCTGCTGGCATCCTGAATCCTTTTGACCTGAGTCAGCAAGTCTCCCTCACCACCCTGACTTCTGCTAGACAAGAATTACAGATGCCCAGAGCCACCTGCTACTCTTCCATCTCTTATTTCCTATCCATCAAGTCACACTGCTCGTGTTTGTTAGGGGCCAGAGTGCTTTGAACACAAGACAAAGATGTTATCAGCATTATTTCTGTGTACATATCCTGTTTCAGTCTTTTTTTCTTTTAGGTCCTGCCCTCCTTGTGACTTCTCCATGACCTTACCACTTGCTCTGTGAGAGTGCCTCTGGTTATTGTGCTTCTAAGCTTAGATGCTTTCCTGTTATTGCTTTACCTTGATCTGCTGCATGTGTTCCCAGCAGACAAACAAGTGGAAAAAGGCTGAAGCTGTAGTCAAAATGCATTCATTTGGAAGTATAGCATATCTATCTGAGGGACAGGGGGATGAAAAAGATCTCTAAAGCAAGGAAGTGGATTATATAATAGAAAATATATCCACAGCTTACCATTTTTCTTCTGCTGCAGTTTAACATGACAGTTCAGCTTACAGAGATGATCTGGATGCCGTCCTTCACCACTCTGACAAGCGAGCACTAGCTCAGGAAAGCGGATAAATATTACATAAATTATTATCAGAGAGAGCTTTGTAAAATATGCACCTACAGACCCAGGGCTACCCCTGTTTGTTTGAATTTTAACTCTCCATCTGAGAGAAGCCTGTCAAAGCCGGTGCTCTGCTGAGGACACGGTGTTCCTGGCTGGCTGGTGAAGCTGGAGCATCATCAGTGGAGGCAGAACCCAGCGAGGAGCCAGCCAGGCCAGGAGGCAGCTGATGCGGAGAGCAGCCACCAGCTCAAATCCCTTCTCCAGCTCCTCTTCATCTCCTGATAATATAATTACTTGATCAAGACCCAAATTCATCAAAGACAGACTGAATCTCTGAATCATGACGTGATCTTGGGACAATGAAATTTTTACAGTCAGGATGAAATGCACAACAGGAGCTGGGAACAGAACATTTTTGGATGCTGAGAATTGACACTCTTCTTCCTGAAAAAAGACAAGCCTCAAGTCTGATTCATAGACTAAAAATAAACATTATACATGAATATAAAATTGGTGAGCATTTGTTATAATGTTATAACTGTAATTTAAAATAGGAATGGACCACCATGATAATTTGTTTTGATCTCCTACAAGGTATTAACTGTATGAATTCCCTGAATTTTTGATTTAAAAAATAGTTTGAGAATATTTATTACGAGAGTTTGAGAATATATATTAATATTTATTAAGCCTGTTACTAATTATCCTCCATACTAATAAATTGTATTTTATCAGTGAAAATTAAAATAAAATATTGTCATTCTATAGTGAATGCAGTGTAACTATACATTAGTTCATTTTCTTATAAAATGTTGAATTTACAGGTCAAAAATTCATATCAAAATGCAAATATGTAAATAGAGATTTTCACTGTTCTGAAAATCTTTAGAAATAATCAAATACGCATAATGTTGGCATCATTGAAAACCTGTACAGAAACCTGGTCTGTATCCAAAGTAAATTAATCTCTTTCCAAAATGCATTCTAAATAAGAATTGATTTGGTAACATTTTAAAATTGTATTATCAAGAAAGCCAGGTCTAAACGTACCATTTTAACTTGATTTGCCATTTCTCATTATCATTTTACTATTTATTTTGTCTCATTTTTCAATTGAATGACTTAAGTATTGCCCTTGAGATGCTCCTATTTATAGCATATCTTAGAATTTATTAGGTTCACAAAAATTCAGTCAATGATGTTGACCTTTACAAGAAAGAATCACTCAGACTCCTTAATTCCATTTCACTGCATTGCAGTGGTAGCTATCTTTCTCCATTTAATCTAAATTTTACCTATTTATTTCACTGTCCTAAGGTTCCCTCAAGCAGAAGGACATTTTCAAGCTTCAGTTTTTCATAGCCTCTTTATTAAATGCAAATCTCCTCTTTTTGTACTTTTCCTTTTCACTGAAAACGTAGGACAACAGACGAAAAATCCCTAAGACCTAAGAAAAAAATGTTGGTTAGTGAGGTATTGTAATGTATATTCTGTAAAGACAGAGAAGCCATTCCTTCCACAAAAACAAGGACAAGTCCAGACCGGGGTTAAAAATCAAACTGAAAGAGTGACCATCCAGAGGACCTTACAGCAATGTGGATTTTTCTGCTTCAAAATTAATAGTAAGATCACTAACTAAGACTAGGAATACCAGCACATAAGGAAAAAAAAAAGCCAAAACAACTCATGCAAAACTGAATTAACTCAGTAGATTACCAAGAGGTTAAATAAAATGTCTGCACAGGGAAAAACATACATCACTGAAAAGCTTCAGCATACCAAGTAGATAATGGGACTGTAGATTCACAGAAAATAAGGTGATGGCAGGTTAATTAACCACATTTCATGTAGCCCTAGAAAGATCACAAAAGGGGAAGAGTCTCAGAAATGGTAGTAAAAAACCTATATTTCAGCTTTCAAAGCCAGAATTGGCACAATTTTGTTTGCAGTAGCTGTCACTAACTAAGTGCTGACTGTTCCATGCTGGGTTCAGGAGTATGTGTCCAGTGAGAAACATCTCAGCACAGAGGTTCTTTTAGAAACTCAAGAGGAGTTAAAAGGATGGCAAGCCCAGACAGAATCATGATATTTACTCAACCAGAGCCAAAAGCAAAAGCACCAGCTCCAGTGCAATGACACGCAGAGGAGGCAGGTATTTATCAGGGCCATAAAGTGATTTTGTCACACCTAAGGGACAGCAAAGTTCATACTTCCAATCTTTCTTTTCACTTTCTTATGATTATGAAAAAAAAGTGGCAAAGTAGCTTCCTTTCTGCAAATATAAGACCCTTTCTACATCACAAGCCATCTCTGCCACCCAAAGTCACCTGGATCCTGGCTGCTGGGAGAGCCAGCAGAGCAGATGAGAACCCCAGCCCCTCTGAGGCATCACAAGGCAAATGAAGTGTTGCCCAGATCAAGCCTCTGGAAAACTCTCCTCCTCTTAATTTTGGAAAGTCAATCTTACCAGTTTACAGCATGCACTTGCAGAAAAATGGATGCTCCCTAACAGACTCTGCAGGGACTTGAAACCACACAGTGCGTGGTGCTGGAGGAGAAATCCCACAGCTCCAGTGACCTCAACTACAGTATCCAGTGTTTGCCTGGTAATAGCAGCTCAGTTCTATCCCTACAAAACGGGGATGAAAGATAAGGACCATTTCATTTTGTAAGACAGATTAAAACAGAGATCTGCAATAATAAAATTGTGACAGAAAACTACAAGGCAGGGTTTTTCGGTAAGGCCAGCACCTTCTCAGCTGTTCTGGTGAGACGTGTCTGTCCCTGTCTATCACCTTTGCCATGCTTGAAAAACCTCCTTCTTTTCTGTCAGGATTTTCCAGTGACAGTATTCTCTGTGACAAGTCATATGGCAATGTGAAAAACTAGATTATCCTTTCCACTCCTCCTTGATGTTTCCATGAATCACATATTCATTGGATCCCTCTGCTACTTTTCCCAGGAGGAGTACGTTCGTGTGGGGAGGGTGAAAATAAAAGGAGGGTGAGATTTCTCATCACACAGACAAAAAACTCTGGAGTGTGCTATTTATGGGGCACATCTACCTTCTCACTGACCTTACTTTCTCTGCACATTTATATATCCATTAGAATTTATTAACTACGAATACATTAGGCTCCAGGTGCATAACATAGTGTCTAGAAAATGTATTTTAATAAAATATCCCAACAGCATGTCCAGATAATGCCTGCAATGTCCCCATATGTCTCACTACACAGATCACCCAACTTAGTATGTCCTGGTAATATATGACCTGCAATGGTATCATCAGCTACACTCATTATCATTTAAGATAGGACAAAAAGGCAAGCTCCTATTAAGTAGTTTTGTGTTTCTAACTGTTCTGTTTGATACTTAAGAGCATAATATTTTAATTAAGGGGATTGTTTTCCCATTATGGAAATAATTTTGAAGCAACTTTCCTCCTGGTTGCTTAAGCAGGTTCATTACAATGCAATGCAATTTACCCAGCTGGACAGGTCTGCAGGTGGCCAGAAACCCATTAGAGAGGTATCTACCTACTACAGGGGAAACTAATATTCAGGAGACAGGAAATCTCACAGGGACTTCGATTTTGCCAGGCATTAACACACTTGACTGGGTAGCAGGTGGCTGGAAGCATAAATTTCCCTGTAACTTATTTATTAGGTGTCCCTTGCCTCCCTTCTTCTAGAATTATGATATGCTCTTGGCATTGATAAACCCCAGCAAGGGCACACTGTAAAGACACAAGTAGAAAAGTCTTGATAAATATTTTTTATCTATTTGACCTGAGCTATTTGAACCAAACTGGAGTCTTTTTCTTTTCTTCTTTGTGGAGAAAATAAAATATTCCTATGATGCAAACCTCCCCATTTAGAAATAATTTATAACTGCCTGTCTTCCTGAATAGAATAAGAGTCAAAGTGGAATTAGATTCTTCTGTCACAGCTCCAAACCTCCTTTCAGCCAGCTCTCTGCCTGGAAAGCTTTCCATCAGCTTTTTTTTCCCCTACACTATAATCTGGTTTTCTTCTCTGTTTTTTCTCCTCTCCATATTTCCATGATGTTTTCTGTACCACTAAAGTTTTAGTCCCTCTGCTCATTCCTGTGGAAATTATTTGAGCTACAAAGTTTGGTTTTCACTTACCATATGCCTGTGTACTGTTTATGTGTTTCAGTTACCTGATGCCCCCAAGGAGCTCATCTGAAGTTCATGCTTCCGTGGAAGGCTCATCGTCACACTCACCAGCTCTAAAGAGCTTTACTTCTGTGTAAACCAGAACACAGAAAAGAAGAACATTTTCCATTCATTCTGGCAGGAAAAGCATAGACAATTCTCTCATGAGTGCTTTGGGAGTAGTTCTTCAAATTCCCTAGAATATTCTGAAAATTTCAGCATTAATCCATGAAAGCCAAGGTCTGTGTGACCGCACTTCACGGCTTCCAGAGCAGCTTGTGAAGCAGCACTCACGACACCTTCAGTTTCACAGCACACTCACCTGCTCTGCTACAGCATAGCAGGCACTTGCATTTAGATTTTTTTTTCATGGTTCATTCAAGACAATCTCATATTCCCCTTCCAGCTCCGTGACCACATGTGCCACTTGTGGATGGCTGTGTATTTGTGCAGATGTAATGGAGCTGCCTCAGTCCTCCCTGCTCCATGTGCCACACATGTCCCATGTCACAGTCTGACACACCACTAACTCTTGTACTGCACAAAGAGGCCCAGGAGGGGCACAGGAGTATATGGGAACTATGGTACCCATCTTTCAAGACCAAAAGTTTTTGGAAAAAGCATTGCCTTATGCATACTGAAGAAATAATTCTCCCTGCTAACACCCACACAGGTTTTCCTGGAACTCACAGTCTCTGAGTAGGCAACAGATCCAGAAAGTTGATATGGTTACTGTAAGTGGTTTGGAGAATGAAGTAGGTCTTACATCCACTTCTAAGAAATTTCATTAATAAGTAAACATATCCATAAATATTCTGAATAAAACAGGGACAAGAAAGACATACATTTCATCCACTTAGCAGCAGGAAAGCAAGAAAGGATTTCTTTTCATAGGCTTTTCCTGTAAATTATATGGGAGAGCTGCATAAATCTTCTTTGAGCCAGTTTAGCCATACACTATGTTTTCCTGTTAAAATATTCACATACAATTAAGTATCCACTAAGCAGACAGACAGGAGCAGAGACCATGGAGGTGTAGGAGGAGCCTGTCAGAGAAACAGACCCCTCCTCACAATACAAATTACAAAAATCTCTAAAGTGGTCAAAGTAAATTGAATCTCTTCAAAACTGGCTTTAACATATTGTCATTTCCTTTGTCCTTTCTCCCAAATCACTCCAACTTTTCTCTGTTACAGCTGGCACAGAGGAAACAAATCATTACAGTACCACACACTCACTAGACAAATCCTGCTGGCTTCATTCACACACATCTCATCTTAATGACAGTCTAAGGCCTTTAAAATAAGGCTTTAAATAATAAATTCAACCACAAATATACCACCATTGCAATAAATTCATGTAAGACATTCAGACACCACAGCAGTAAGAGGTTAGATGGCTAGGAAGATACACTCTTAAAGCCACTTGAAACACAATTACAAAGGAAAAGCTTTCAGCTGTGTTTTCCCTTTATAGAAAGCGATGCACTGTCCCTTCAACACCTTCTGTTCCTGCCTTCCTTCCAAGTGAAAGAGAAAAGGCCCACTTTGCAATCTCTTGACCCCAAAGAAAGCATTTGCATCAACCTTAGGAATTCCTGGGTTTGGCCCCAAAACATTTTCTTCATTGGTGTCCTGGACTTTCATGGTAAAACCACTAGCCTGGGGGTGTATAGGTTTCTTAGGAATTACCCTTCAACCCACATACCTGCCTATAAGCAGTCCTGATCAGCTCCAAAGTAAGCAAATGTCATCATATCCTCCACAGCAAGTAGGCACTTTTCCTGAAAAAAACAAATGCAGTTAACTCCAAATCATCAAGACACCAGTTCCAAATGGAGCCAGGCCTCAGGCACATCAGAAACATCCAGGGAAGTAGTGTTTGATGTTGGCTGGCCCCAGTGCACTTTGTTCCACATAAAGGAGCAAATGATGTATGATTTACACAGTGAGTGTGTAAATCATACATCAACCTACATAAGAAAGTAAGCTCCCTACTTAAACAAAGGAAAAAGCATTTGATTCACATTCTCTACATGGGTCTGCAGAGGTGCTCAGTCCCTGCAGTGACTGCAGAACCCTGTGCACCTAATTTCAGCAGTGTGAATTCCCCCTGCCAAGACTAAACACTCACATGGTTTTTCACTGCCCAAGTAATGATGGTAGGTGATCAGAGTCTGGCTTAATACCACGTAAAAGTCCTTGGAGGTGAATCATTCCCGAAAATGTATTCAGTTTAATTTCCTGGTAAGAAAAGTGTCTGCTCATGATGACCCTTTGTGAAGTGGTTGCAAGCTATACATTTTACTTGTTTCTTCTCTAATGTTTGGTCTTAATTTTTCTACATTTTTCCATGCTTTCTCCTCCCCCCCTCCCTGCTTTGTATTTAGGCACAGAATATTGTATTGTATTGAATTTAGGCACAGAAGTATTGTTTACTATCTCATTAAGCTCATCTGAGAACAATCACAAGCTCCATTAGACCACACTGGCAATATATGGCTTTAATTATTTTTTCATAGAAAATTCTCACACTGGAGTAGAGTAATGGGGCGGTTGTGACATCTTGCTACAAATTCTTACATGGGAGTGTATGTGGTGGGAACAGGGCCTGGGGAGGGCTAATGGAGAGGCAGGAGAAGGCAGAACTGTTCTTTGGGGGTTCTCTAAGGAGAAGGATCTTGGAAATATATCCATATGCTACACATTTTAAAAGTACTTCCATCTTCAATGTCATATGGTCAGAATTAGAGATTCATCATGCACTAAAATCTAAATCAGGTCACTAGTCACTCGTTGAGATGATAGTCATACTTTTATTAAAACTTTTAAGCAATTTTGATCTGATAGATTTTCATAATACTCGATCTCTAAGCCATATGCCACTATTCCTGTATTTGCTGCTCAACCTACCTTACAGCACCGTAAAAAGTCCTACCATCTGGCAGAACAATCAAAATCTTGCAAATTAGAACATAATTCTAAGCTTTCTTGGTATGTTTTTTTGGCAAAGCCTTTGTCCCGGAGTATGAATTCTCCTTACGAGCTAGAAAATATTTCCTAAGATATTTACAGCCAGAAAAACTTTGGTACAAAGTGTCTCTTTTTACCAACTCATGCTGCTTCTAAAAGCAGGGGAAAATAGGCCTCAACATCCTTAATGCTCTTGGCTTTCACTTCATCAAGGCTTTTCTGTTGAAACATTCAATACTGTCGATAGGAGAATTCTTGTGCTGGCAAGACAGTTTTCCTCTTTCAAGGGATCATAAAATAGCATTATGCATTTATTCAAATCCTACATAGGAGAGGTTATTCCACTGCCAAGGTTGTCAAGGTCTAAATCTTGGCCTCCCTTTTCCATCTCCAGGATATTTGCCATTACTTCATCTCCAAAGAACTATTTCTTTTTCTCCAATCTCCCCTAAACACACCTAAAGAAAAGCCTCGAATCTTCCAATAAGTCAGCTTAAGAGCATGTGAGCAGCCTGTGAGCGCTCCCCAGAGAAGCCAGCAGAGTCTGTGTGAAGACTCCAGCTGGGATGAGGACTGCCATGACTGGTTTTCCTGCAGGCAAGAGGCTGCTGCCCATTGAGGGGTAGGGCAGCTTTGCAGGGGTCTGAGAAAAGCTGTGTGGAAAGCTCTTTAGTCCTTCAGCTTCCTCACAGTTTCGTGATATTTTTCAAAGCACCTGGATGGGGCCTGTGAATTGGCAGGCACTACTGACCTTCTGGCAATTTAATGAGACCCATTGTTTCAGTTCCAGACTCCACTTCTTTAAAACAAATAGCTGGTGTACAGTGAGTGTATAAATATGCACAGAACTCCAGAAATTTCCAGCCTCGCAATTCCATTGTTCTGCTGTGATCTCTGCTTCTCAGGGGCCTTTAGCCCTTGTCAGTAAAATCCTGATGGTGAGGAACAGATAACTTAATTACCTTGAAATTGAAGTTTCAGCCTCAGTGTTACCTAGCAATGCGTGCATCGAAAGCATTATGTTTTAAAAGCCATCTGAAAGCATGGGAAGGTTGCCAACTATTCAAGTATTGTCATAGTTCTGATTTTCTCCAGCTCCCCTGATAGCACTCAGAAATGGGACCAGCCTTCCAAAGAGGAAAGACAGCTGGAATAAAGACAACTCCATTTACGTATGCTGAAAACTTTCAAAGCAAAGAATTGCACTTGGCTTCGGTGTTGTCATGTGGGTGCCCTCACTTCCCACTGGGGAAGAAGTGCCTTCCTCCACTCTCTGCTGCCTGGAGGAGGCAGGTTCCTATTGAATCAGCTCATCAGGAGCCCTACAACCACAGCTTTTTTAACAGGAAGCTTTGCTAGGGTGTCTCTGACAGGCCCACAAGATTGCCACAGTGACTATATTTGGTTTAGTGTGTATTTCTGCCTCGTGGTCCTCACTGTGAAAGCTTGAGTTCAAGGTAAAGGGAAGCCCAGAAGCCATGGTAGACCCTGGGAGATTCACCCTGATTCATCTTTTCACCATCACTTCTTAGATTACCTGTCTGTCCAGGCCTGTTACTTCTCTCCAGATGAGCCCTGAAGATGGACAAAGGGCTGGCTGTCATCTTGGCTGAGGAGCTCTACTCACTGCTTGGCTGTTTAGGCCTTTGCTGCTTTTGCAGGCTTTGGGACAGGACCTGTCATTTCATGCTGGAGCTGCTCTGACAGGCACTGGTTCAAGATGAAGGCTGCTAAGCTCTACCATGATAAAAATAAATAAATGAGACTCTGGGCAGTCTTTGTCCCCCTTCACATTACAGAGCCCAGAAGATCTTCACCATATGATTTCATCTATGTATGTTTGTCCAACAGAGAGTCTTGTCACACAAATGTGACTGGTGACTATAACTCATTCTCAGAGATCTCTGCTCTCCTTGGAAAAGTTCTGCATTTTAATATGGTGCACTGTCTTCTCTGGAAGCACCTTCAGAGCTAGACAGAATAAAACAGGAAGTGAAGGAACACTGAAATCAAACAATGTGGAAGGTCAGAGGAGAGTGTAAATAACCTCACAAACATTTACCTCTCCCAACCCTCCCCAGGATGGAGCAGCTCCCCTCTTCAAAGCAATGACAAAGCTCCTCTGCACAAACCTTTTGCCATTCTCCCTTCCTTCCACTGCTGTAACAATCCTATAGATGCTGCCTTAAAGAATCTGCTGATTTGAGCTAAAGCCATGTGTTTGTACTGAAACACAGAAGTAGCTCATTAAACTCCTCTCAGATAAATTGTTTAGACTTAGTAATTCTCTCCTTTCCTCCCCTTACGTATCCAGCCTATTGTTTATAGCTAGCATTCCAGGCTGTGTGTGATGAAAATGCTGATGTGTTTCCTGAGTTACAGACTCAAGCTTTATCTCATCTGTCATTTAGGAAACTGGCTGCATTATCATTTTATACTGCTGTGTGCAATGTTTATTTTTCCCCCATTATTAACATTGTATAGGAGGAAGTGCCCAGCCCCATCAGCTGGTAGCTGTATTGTGCATAGCATACAGAAACACACACAAAATAAAAGGGAATACATAATATAAAGGACTGGAGAAATTTGTGAACACACATAGTTTACAAATTCTCTGTGATATTGGGGACAGCCTCTGGGTGACAGTGTGTTTATGTCCTTCACACACTATCTTGATGCAGAGTTTGCTGGTATCCTCTCCTGTCTTTAAATTCCATTTTTCAACCAAAATCCACAGGATGTGATTGAAAAAAAAAACTCCTGGCCTTTGTACAGACCTAAAAATGATCACCTATGCATCTGGAGTCCTCCTAGAAATACCTCCTTCCCAGTTTTTCCTCTGTTTGAATTCCAGGGGAGACATCACTGGGCAGTGAGTCACCCAGGATCACGAAAATAGCCGGGTTGCACAGGGTTGCCTGTGAATCTCTGACTAGATATTCTGGTCAATAACAAACTAATTGAAAAAGTCAAAGACAAGCCCATGATTTAGAGAAGTTATGCTTAAGAGAAAAAGAATCCTGAATTTCCGATAAGATTTTGACTTAAATCCAAAGAATGCACGAGTGGTTAGTAAAAAGAGGCACATGCTTATTCATTTGTCTACAAGAGATATCTCTTGGGCTAGCTCATGTGCATGGATTTTTTTAATCAATTTTTGTAAAGCCTGTTTAACTTTGTGCTTTAACTACTGAAAGCAATAAGTATTGGGAGGAAAAAAAAGTGTTTAGTATTAAAAAAGAGAATGAGCAGAAGTTGTAGGGGCCAAAAGCAACTGAATTAAAAGATAACATCACTGTGAAGGTGTAAAATTGCCTATTTTGGGCTTTGTACTGTGTATGAGGACAGCTTCTAAATCTGCAACATTCTCACATGTGGTCGTCACCACAATTATTTTGAGTTGCTGTTTTTATAAAACGGGCTCATTGCATGCACACAGTGGATTGCCCTGGATTTCTGAAGGATCCCAAAAATAAGATTATCATACTCTCCTAATGTCAGACAGTTCAACTCTTCTTAGAGATTCTATCAAGTGCTCTTCTTGAACCAATTTTCTTTTCATAATAATAAGCATTCTAATAATAACCATTCTACTAAAAAGCACATTCTTTCCAAATTTCACCTACAACCATGGAATACCCAGGGAATTAGTTACCAGTTCAATCTTTCTTTCAACATGGTTTATCTACAGTTGCTTATGCTGACCTTTTTTGTAAAGAATTATCTCTCCATAATAACTTACATGTACCTAAACTGAACAAAGAGTCCTGACAAAAATATGTCCTGTCAAAATCCAGCTTGGACTTAGACTTGTTGCTCAGGTCTGCTTCCTTCCAGCTCCACACCCAGTAGTATTTTTTTCTCTAATTCAAATGGTTTCAATTCCATTTAATATTCTCTTTCTTAACACCTCGCTTCCTCATTAATTCCAGAACAATGTGTGGTTTCAAATGTTTGCCCTGTGGTCATCCACAAAACTCACATTACCAGTGCCAGAGCTACATAACAATCTCCATGGATTAGTTGTCAGAGGCTCGGGCTGGGTGGATTCAATTTTCCGAATTTTCACAAACTTTTCATAATAATCTTGGCAAGGTTCAAACCACTTTGGAGTTGCTGACTTTCCAGCAAGTTTTTTAGCTCTCCAGACATATTTTTTTTACACCACTTAAAATTAGTCACTTACTAGAACACCCATTTCAAGGTATTTGGTGTAGTTATTTTGGGATCAGCAAAAACAGACATACTGGAAGAGCTACAGACTAAACCAAAATAGTTTAGAGATGAAGTGTGTAAACTGCTCTTCTCGTTCTGAGCATGGTATCTCCTGCAGGGGCCCTGGAGGCAAAGCCTGTGCAGTACCAAAACAGGATCTGAGTCTATATTAGACTTACACTATATCCAGCAGGGGACATTTATATCAGACTTCCACTATGTCCAGCAGGGGACATTTATATTAGACTTACACTATATCCAGCAGGGGACATTTATATCAGACTTCCACTATGTCCAGCTGCAGCTTAGGGACATTCAGTCCATTTGCTTTAAGCCAAATTTCTCTTCTTCCCATTCAGGGACTGTCCCAGCATTGATGTGCTGCATTCTGGTGCATTGTGGTCGCGATGTGATCTAGTGGTTGTAATATCCTCGCGCAAGGCACAGGTGATGTTTAAACTGTGCTATCTATCTATAATCTGAAGGACCTATTTCAGTGCTCTCCCCTCCCAGGGCTCGCCTTCCTCCATCCCTTTTCCAGCCCTGGAGCCAGCAGCAGCAGGGCCCGCCTCCCGCCGGGCAGCGCTGCGCAGGGAAGGCAGGACTGCAAAGGTCTTGCAGGGGCAGGATGTGGGACATCGGGACATCCTCCCCGTGCAACACAGGCGAACCTGCTCAGCAATCCGCTCCACGTGGGGAACACTAGATGGCACACAACAACCGCTGTATTGCTGCTTTTTTGGTTCGGAAGACAAAAATTTGTTTCAAAGCATCATCCTGGAATGTGGCTAAAAGGACCAAGCAAAACATGAGCCTAAGTACACTATTAAACCCCACTGGGCAGATAACCTTTCCAATAAAATTTCACCCCTCTTACTCTGTCAGAGTTATTTTGCTATTTATAGTTCTGCCTAACTTGGCAGCCTCGGAAAGTAAACAGATACTTTATTTAGTGGCTTGTTGACAGGCAAGGGGATGCTCATTTTGGTGCAATGTGAAATAACAGAGAGGCATGCAAAGTACAGCCCACTTGGCCTGGCAACCTCCACAGTTCAAAATTATAACTGCTGGGACAAGGCTCAAGTGATATAATTACCTATGACAGGGATTCTGTTAAACGATCTGTGCTTCACTTTGCAAGTAAAAGCAAGTACTCACTTTCACTCTTTCACTCTTTACATAGCTGTAAGGTTTTTTTTTTCCCTGTCCCAAGAGACCTAGAAGCCCAGAAACAGAAATCTGCTATTACAACTTAATACACATTATTGGATCTCTGCTTACTGTGGGTCTGTTTTAATTCTGGGGTGGGGGGGTGGAAAACCAAAGGAAAGCATTTACAGGAGAAACCTTCACACTTCATTTCCAAAATTTTAAAGCAGTCAGTTCCTGATATTCTTCACAGATTCAACAAGCATAAAGTGATGAAGGGTCTGGAGCACATCTTATGAGGAGTGGCTGAGGGAGCTGGGGATGTTTAGCCTGCAGAAAAGGAAGCTCATAGGGGATCTTATCAATCTCTGCAACTGCCCTAAAGAGGGTGTAGTCAGGTTGGGGTTGATCCTTCTTCCAAGTAACAAGTGACTAGACAAGAGGAAATGGCCTCAATTTGCACCAATGACCTCAATTTGAATTTGAGGTTCAAATTGGATATTAGGAAAAATACCTTGAAAAGTATTGTCAAGCATTGGAACAGGCTGCTGAGGCAAGTGGTTGAGTCAGCATCCCTGGAGGTATTTACAAAATGCATAGATGTGGCACTTAGGGACATGGTTTTGTGTTGGACTTCGCAGTGCTGGGTTAATGGCTGGACTTGCTGATCTTAGAGGTCTTTCCCGACGTAAATGATTCTATGACTCTGTGACTCCAGCTTCTGTGAATGTGTGACATTACAATTTAACTGAAAAAATGTGAACTTTCCATTTCCTGCCTACTGCTAGTAATTGGCACGGCTTCTTTGGAAAAGAGAACCACGTCCATGATTACACGATTGAGGTTCCATCCTAAACTCACCGAAGCAGGAAGCTGTAAGCACCAGTTTACTGGCAGAAGGGTGCAAATCCTTCCTTGCCTGTATTACCTAGCTGACATGGGGGTGGGGAGGGGGGCCTTGACTCTGAAGGTGGCTAGGAAGAGACCTAGGGGCCCCCAAGGTGGGGACTTTTCTGAGAAAGCAACTTCAAGCTGTAGAATCAAGAGCAGTGTAAAGCACCCACCAGGTTGAGAGATGACTCGTCCAGGGTGAAAGGACATTCAGTGCTAACCAGAGCCTCTCCAGATATGAGTGTTGGGGTTTTTTTCTACTTTCATTTCCGTTCATGTATTTTTGCATGTTCTGCGTTTCATGGGGTTTTTTTCCAACTATATAAATAAGTAGTTTTATTTGTTTTTAACTTGCTCCTGTTCGTGTCAAGAATAACTTCTGAGTAACTGGCTGAACTTTATGGTATCCCAGTCCTCCATGATGGCCATTCTGAAAAAACAGAGTTCTGGATACCTCTCCCCTGCTTCTCCTCTTTGCCACTCATAACAAGGTATATTTCCACATAGTTTCAGGGACCAGTTTGAGGTGGAAAAAATAGATGCCTTGGGAGAAGAATTTATGCCTGGAAGTATCATTAACCTAGAAAATTCTTCAGCATTAAGTAAAAAAGAGGGGAGAAAGAACAGATAAATTCATGGGCTTTGTAAGAGACATGTAATAATAGTTACTGGTATCTTATTTTTAAGTTTCAAGTTAAATTCCTGTCCTACCAAACATTCCAGCCAGATTGAACTAAGTGATCTCTATTTCAAGGATGCCATGGTAAGCAAACTGATGAAAAAACTGTGAACTGTGTAAATCCACATTCTGGTTTACAGGAAATACTCTTCCAAAAATACTGTTGCAAAGTTGTGAGTGTGTGCTGACAGTTTGCTGTAAGAGCTGCATATAATTAATATATATAAACAATTCTCCCATTTAAAAAAAAAAAAAAAACCTCATATTTTTTATGCTACTTGGAACTGTAGTTGCTTATTTTGTATTTGTTGCTTGAAATGCTTTTTTAAACATCATCACATTATTAATCACATCAAATTAATGAAGAGTGATTTTAAGCTTCCCAACAGCATGGGAATGCTTGAGGACACCTGTCTCATACACAGGGACAGACAGTGAGAAGCAGCTCCAGGCACAAGAATCCTCTGCCTAGGACCATTTGACTTTCAGAGCTACACTAGTACCTGCCCTTGATGTTGACCTTTTCCAATTGTGTTGGACCAATGGGAAGTGACTCAGATGTTACTTTTCAAGGCATTTCTTTACAAAGACATTGAGGTTTCTCAGCCAAATTCCTACCAGCACGTCTGACAATGCCCTTGGGGTTTACCTGCATCTGTAACACATACAGACCTAAATATTTCTCACTAACATTCTAGAGTAAATCTTGAAAATTGATAGTAGAAACTTAGTAGCATATATTTTAATAAAACTACAGAGAAATTGAATGTTAATATTTTAACTAACATTTTTTCTCTAAACATATGGTATTATTCTAGTCTACATTTGTTCTATATACTGTGCAAGAAAAAGTAAAAAAATGAGAGTTGGTCACAGTCCAGAGGAAAAAAGAGCAGATTAGAAACAGAAGCAGTGTGATCTAGGCTGTACACTGGCAACAGACTTCAGGCTGTAAATTGCAAACAGTAAAAGAACATGCAAGAGCTGGTTGTGGTGGATTCCTCATCAGCTGAGGCTTTCAAGCAAAAAGTGAAAAGCCCTCTGAAAGATATGCTTTATTCAAATAGGCATTTATGCAAGGCTTGTGTTATGTAGGAGATCATCTAGTTTGATCTCAAGGATCCCTTATGGCTTTACAGTCTATGAATAAAGAGCCTCTTTCACTATAAGAGACTCAGTATTTCAGCTACTTTGGACCCAACGTGGTGTAAGCAGGACTGCTACAAAGCAGGAATTGTGTCAGATACTTCTAATGCTGTGAAGGCCCCTGCAGAACACAATGGGGGACAAGCGTGTGAAAGAAGTCCTTTCAGTGCCCCATCAGGTCAGTTGTTTGAGCACAAAGCTGGGGTGAGTAAAGAATTACAGTATCTTACTTCTCACATTGTGAATCTCTTTCACTGACATATCCACGGACCCAGTAAATTTGATATTATGTCAGCACAAACATGAAGTCTTCAGTGATTGGTGAGAGGTATACAGGTCTTCTGTGTTGCCATTTTATTTGATCATTACTGTTTGGAGGGAAAAAGCAATTCAGAATAGAGTTAAACATGGTTTATGAGAGAATCTTTCACACTCAAAAGCTGATCAGAAAAGTGACTTGTTTTTTTTAAAGGGTAAAATATAAATACTGACAGCTTGTCCACTCTGAATTTCAAATTAGAGACAATTAGCTCCACTAATAGAAGCTATCAGTAATAGGGTCTAGACAATGGAAGAACTGGGTTATAAAAAGGGGTTACATCTGACAAACAAAGACACTTTGTTTCTTACTTATAAAAAAGAAAACAATTTCATGGATATAATCAGCAACAACTTGATTTTAGGAAGCACTTGAAACAGTAACTACGATATCTTAAATGGTATTTGGCTTGAAGAAACCCCAGAAGCTCGACTGGAGCTTCTGCAGTAATTTTGGCTGATGTACAGAAATGCATAAACAAGCTCTTCCCCAGCTACTTCAGATATTACCAGGAACATAACCATGACACCACAGAGCTCTTCTCCAGCTAACCACAGAGCCTTCCCAGCCCTCCTAGACACCTACTGTAAACCCTTCCGTGTTTCATTTGGCCATTGCGATAAGCCACCAGTAACTAAGCTAATTTCAACTGGAAGCCAGTTCAGACCATTTTTCATTTAACACCAGTTACAGCAGTAAGCAAAAGACAGGCATACTCATAGTAGTTGGTGATGAAAACCAAAATAATTCTGAGTAAAATAATTATGAGCTGAAAGAAAGAACAGTATATGTCCAACGTGATGAAAACCAAAATAATTCTGAGTAAAATAATTATGAGCTGAAAGAACAGTATATGTCCAACAGGAAAATTGTTATAAGTCTTATTTAAAATATTTGTTAAAGATTTAGAAGAGGGATAAACACTACATTTTGAAAGGAAAAATATACTGATTTAGAACGGGTTGCATATCTACAGCTCATATAAAACACCAGCTATTTCTGGAATGTAAAAAATATTTCAAGCAGAAATATTTACTCTCACAATCCACTCTCAGAACTCAAGTTGTTGTCTTGTTTACTGGAGTAAACTTCAGTTCAAAGGTTACTAATTGATGTCCCTCAAAAATAAGTATATTATACACATCCTTTTTGGTTTGGGCTAGCTTCATGGGGGTTTGTGTTTCTCTTGCTCATTAACTAGGGATAAAGTCCAAAGTCCTCAGTTCAGCAAGGCAGAAGCTAGGAAGAAGCAGAGGAGGAATGGCCCCAGTTCAGGCTGGATTTTAAGTATGTACATTCTTTCCCTCCTCACCACATTTTTTCCCCTCTTGCTTAGAGTGCAACACTATTTAATGAGTAAGAGCTTCCTTTTTCTTTCTGCACCCTCATTTCCTGCTGCTTCCATCCTGTAAGCCTCCTTCAGGATTTTCAAAATTTTTCCAGTCAAGCTGGGAGAATGCACTGAACTGAACAGATGATGGAGGAACTGATGTGCAAGAAAAATAGAAAAGGAAGTAAGAGAGAAAGAGATGTGAAGATATGGAAACAAGGAAGAAAATATGTCCTTCTGTATGCAGAGGCCCTAAGGTGGGTTTAATGAGTAACTAAGGAGTACAACTGTAAGTGCAGGTCTTGAGAAGACTTCATTAGATACAATTTCATGTCTTAAAAATAGACAATTTTATGGCGTGGCTGCATTTCTAACGCTGTGTGCATTTCTGATCCCTCAGTGAAAAAATTGAATGCTTAGTGTACTAAAAGTCATGTAACACTGACTCAGAAAGCAGAACAGAGATTGCTACGGTCTCATACCTTCATCTCAACAGTGCAGACTTCATATTATTTCAAATACATTCCCTAAGTAAGTTACAGGGTTGATATATTCCAGTTACAATTTTTAAAAATAGAAAGCCAATGTTTTTTGTACATGAGAAAATAAATGTCCAAAACTAAAATAAAGTGCCCCCAAGCAGTTTTCTGTACAGCTTCTGTACATAAGTCCCATAACAAGACAACAAACATAGGTTTGGGACTTGTTTTGCATTGTCCTGTAATCATCTGGTTTGCAAAAGCTTCTCATTTTCCTAGAAAGGGACTTGGAGGCCAAACCACAAACACATTCAAGAGCCAACCATTTTCAGACAAGTTACTTGAAAAAATTAAGGGGAAGGGCAGTTTCTTCTCTACTCACAGATCAGATTAGTCAGGCAGACAAGTCCATTCTAGTATCATGTAAGGATGTCTGAACACGCACCAGCAACTTGTGTACCTGATCCTGGGCAGGGAAGCACTCTCTGAAACTGCTGGGATTCTCTTTTAGCAGCAAAGAGGCACCTCTGCCACTTTTTAGAACAGGACAAAGACATAGAATAGGAAAGATGAAGTAGATAAGTGATTTTCATCAGCAATTAAGTCCCCCAGAGCTCCAGATCAAACACCTGAACACCCAGGATGGTGCTACCTGCACACCCAGTGCATACAAGCTGAAGCTGGGTCTCTTGGCACAGATCTTCCTCTGCAGCCAGGTATGCAGCTCTGCAGAGCCCTCCAGGCACTGGAATTCCACAGTCCTACGTCTCCAGGGTTCATCTCTCCAGACCCAATTGCAGATCAGATCTTTAGTCTACAATTCTCTCAGGGCACGGGTGAGCCTTTCCCTTAAGTATTATTTTCTGTCTGTAGAAATTTGCCATCATACAAATGACACAATAACAAATCTGTTTCTTCCTAGAGAACTTCAACCATGACTCTTGGGTCACCTTTTCCATCCTTCTACTTCATGCTTCTATCCACAGAATTCCAGAGAACTTTATAAATGATGAGACAAAAGAGTTTTATTTCTGGAGTCTCATCCACAAAGCAGTAAACTTTGGAGGTTTTTTCCTTGTACTTGTCCAAAAATACATTTTTGCTCTGGTTTTAGTTATTTTTGAGTCTAGTACAAAGTCTTGGATACTCCTAACAAATTCCTCTCCTTCCTTGATGTCAGTGTTCTTTGAATACTTGTAGAGGTTAATCCTCCTCCCTCCATTTGCCAGCAAAATTCTGTATATTTAGATTGTTTAATTTTCTTACATGGATTTAAACAAAAAGAAAAGAAAAGAAAAGAAAACAAAACAAAAAACTTAGCAGAGAGACAGAAATTTCTTCAGAAAATTAAGTGCCTATAAAAATGTGCAGATGGCAGAAATCTGTTAAATGCCCTCACAGACACAAAGGCTCCAAAATCAGCTGAGGTTGTGGTAAGCAGCAGAAAATGTATTTAGAAGCAAGTCTACAGGAAGAGGGAATACTTTATTGCTCAATAGCAGAAGAGGCTTCAGTAAGGCTTGTACACTAAAAAAGTAAGAATGGTCATAGCCCAGCCACTTGATCTATTTTGTGTGTCCAGCAATGACCAATAGCCTTGGGAAGAACCAGAGCAAGCAGGCACTGTCACTTCCCTCAAAGCCCTGCTCCACAGCCATCTGGCCCAGGGTCACAGTTCCTGTTCCTACTCCTGCCAGGGAAAGGATGCTAGCGAGTTCCAGCAAGCTGATACCTGCATCACAAATTTTATGAAGGGTCAGAAAAGTGAAACTCTGCTTACAAGCTCCATTAAAATTATTATTTAAGCTAAAACTAGTCCAAGGTCACACTAAAAGATTGTATCTCCTATCTCCATGCTTGGTGCCATAGCCAAAGAGAAGACAGAGCTATTTATAAGTTCACTTCTGCAACTAAGTTTTGTCAAAAAAATATCTGCATTGTTGAAGGTGAAATGGTCTGTCTGGAATATCTCTTACTCAGCAGGAGTTGCTGAAGAAGCCCAGCAGATGTGGGCTGGACAACACCAGAGGCAGCAGAACTTTACAGCCCTGAGATCAGGTACAGCTCTGAGCTGGAGACAGGCAGGTCCAGCAACTTCTGGCCCACAAAAATGTTTTCAGACTAAGCTGGGAAAAAAAAAAAAAAAAAAACAAAAAAAACTGCTTTTTTTTCTTTCTTTCTTTCTTTTTAATATTGATGCATTGCAAATGGAAAGACTTCTTTTTAATAAGTTGCAGTAAACTCTGTTGATGCTCAGCCCTGAGGTACATTTATCCATTAATGGACTCAATTTAATGCAGCAATGAAGAAAAATATTAGCGTTTCAGGTCTGTTGGTACTATTTCAATTTTCTTCCATAGTCTTATTAGAAAACTATGGGAGAAACATCTTTCCTTTCTTCTTGCCCAAGAAAACAAGAGACAGGAGGACAGTCCATGCCAGCCATGCCTGTTCCCTGTTCTCCAGTGGAGGATTAGTGTTTTTGTATACTAAACTCGAGTACTTTTAATTCTCTTCAAAAAGTTGCTGCCTTTTTTTTTCTAATTATTTGCGTGTGACAATCTGACCTGTTTTAATGAAATCCTGTTTTAAAAATATTTTGGCAATATTTAGTGGGAAAAGAAATCATAATGTAACCACTCTTTTAACAGTCTTAAAATGAGACAATCCCACATGAAGCAATGCTGCCCTGCCTTGCAGAATCATTACCCAGAGGAAAAGCACACCACACCTATTGTACAATTTCTATCTTCAGAAGACTCTGCCAGGACCTTCAGGGTGTTATTTTCTCTCACTGTCTGTAGAACTGACGAACATAAAAAATAAGAAATGAGTTTTATGTTATGAATTTAGAAACTCGAAAGAAATTATAACACAGAATAATTATATAAGGTAGTAGAAAAAAAAAACAGGTTTGTCATGTAAAATAGAATTGTTCTAAAGTACTCACATTTCTCTTTTTTTTCCTTTATATAGGTATTATATTAAACACATACTCTGACTAAGACACCTATCCTCACAGGGAACTCTAGATTTAGGAGCTCAGAATAAAACTAGCCCATCATTTGCAAAAAGAGCTGCACAGGATATCTTGCAAACATCAGAAGCATTCTTGATTTTGACTAATTTCCCTTTTCAGTATTGCAATTTAAGCGAGGCTATGAGGCCAATGGACTCTAGATTAACAGTTTTACCAAACTATTACAGTCAAATTAGTAATTAC